TTGTTTTTTATCATAATAATGATATTAATAAATTATTTAGCAGTGTAAATATCCCAGGTAGACTCCTATTATTCATCAATAATAAATTATTTAGCAGTGTAAATACCCTAAGTAGACTGCTATTATTCAACATCTTTATATGCTTTGCTTATAGTGTAAAAGTCTCGGTAGACCGCACGCTATAGTAGCACCGAATTGGCAGTGGGTGCTATTGACTAGCTGCCTTCCCTGTAGTCTGTCAGTTCAAAATTAGGAAAAGCTAGCACAGATATATATGTGAAACTTTGCATGAATATCCAAAACAAACAAACTAAAATAACTCGGGAAGATTTGTGTGTGTGTGTGTATGTTTCTTTTTAGCTGAACAAATCACTAAACTCTAACAGTACTTTAGAAATTCTAAAGGTACTGTTAACAGGCACAGTCAAGTGACCATTATATGTACCACATTTACAGTTTATTAAAACTAAAAGAAAGCTGGACCAGCATACTGAACTTATTCAAGACATCTTGTATTCTGTGTTCTTTGGTAATGTTTGGTAAATAATACGAGTCAAAGTTTATTCTTTCAGAATGAGGTATATTGTATGGCAACAATGTGTACACAACATCTGGTGTTTTTTATCTCTTCTTTCATGGCCTTCCAAAGTTTGTGTCAGTATTACCTTACCATAATTGCCATAGCTTGTGTGTACTATTAATTTTATTCCTTGTAATATTACAAGATTATTTTTTGTTAATGGCTTAGAATTTTCAGACAAAGTTAAACAAAAGGCTATCTGAGTACAGCCAGCCCTAGTTTTTGAAGTGATAGACTAGAGGGGATGCAGCCTGTCAACAGTACCCATTGCCAGCTCTTAGGCTACTCTTGTTAGACTGAAAAGTGGGACTTGTTTGTCACTCTTATAACACATCCATAGTCACAAAGTGTGTGGTACCTTTTTGTAACAACAGATCCAAAACATTAACTCTTGAATTCAAACTCTGGCCATTCAGCTTTAGAAATCTTGTACTCTGTTCAGTATCTACCAGCTTACTTGAGTTCACAGTCTGGGCAGTTAGCTTTAGAAATCTTGTTCTCTGTTCAGTATCTACCAGCTTACTTGAGTTCACAGTCTGGGCAGTTAGCTTTAGAAATCTTGTACTGTGTTCAGTGACTACCAGCTTACTTGAGTTCATAGTCTGGGCAGTTAGCTTTAGAAATCTTGTTCTCTGTTCAGCGATTACCAGCTTATGCCACATTAAATTTAATACAGAACTTCTGTATGCAAGTGTGATTTTTGTAAAGACGAACAAAATGTCAGTGTTACAAAGAAGATTTTGGATTAGTCAAAATGATTAGGTGGGGCTAAAACTTTTCAAAATGTCATTTCAGTCTTTAACTTCCAATGTATTTTCTGATTTAGGTTACAAGGGTGGATAAGAGATATAATCTAATTTTTAGGCTTTTAATCTACTATTCGATATTGTGGAATTACTACTACACCCACAACCAGCTTCAGATAGTGAATGGTAGGTTGGCCTGGGATGTTATGGTTTTAAGTATTCCTTATAGTACGACTGTGGCAACTAAGTCGTTCCTTAAGTGGACTTTTCGTGAGTTGTGTATTGTTGCAGATATACAGTTCATGTTAAAAGAAGTAATAATAGTGGTGTACTTGAATTAGAGGCCAAAAAATTAATTTCTTTTATATATCAGAATGGACTAACCATTTAAACAGATTAAATGATTGCAAAAACAACAAAAAAAGATATCTACCACCAATAATGACATGAGATATTAAACATCATATTATTACTCCTGCCAGACAGTGGGGGTTATTGTTTTAACTCTACTATGTATATGAACAGCATAACAATTTTTGATTTTGATGAAATTTGGTTTAAAGTTTGAGTGTCTCGCAAGGACTACTGAATTAACCTTTGGTGAATGTAGCTTACTGTTAAGATCATATTGAAACTCAACCAATTTCGATACAATTGCAGCAAATTGGGATTTCAGGTTGAGAAATGATAGAAAAAGGATTGTGGTATTAAGATCTACATTTTTGAGGAGTTGGAATTATTTGATATATATTTTAGGTTGTTTACTACAAAAGTTGAATAGCATGAGTTGATCCTGGGATAAAGGGTGTATTTCAGAGCTGGTGACCTACACTTTAAGCTATGAATGCATTGTAAGAGTTAAATCATTGCTGAGTGAGAGCTTGCACTCTTTGAATGCCTTTCTAGTTGAAAATTGTTTCCAACTTATATAGAGTATAATAGGTAATAATTCTGGTAGTCACAAAATGGATTGTTATGAACTATTCATATGAATGAGTGCACAAACTTTCATTCTCATTATAAGTTTTATTTATTCACTTTTTTATGAAGAAACAGCTTATGAGTTCCATAATTTTCTTATCTCGTGGAAGTTCCATGGACATGAATTTTTTTTATTATTAATTTATGACTTATTTGCAGGTAAGTTTCATAAAGAGTTTAAAAGTGGCTTTGTATTTTTGTAACTACTATAAAGAATGTGTACATAAAAATTGAATATTATCTTGCCTGTGTTTATGTGTTGTTGAATGCATTGTGATGAGACCAATAAGTAATTTATATCTAATGTGATTTATTAAATTTTTCACACAACCAGATTAAGTTGTTTTTATTATTAAATAATAAGTTTTTAATTTGTCGTAAAGAATATGTACAGACAATGTTTTTGAATAAGCACTACATACTTTCTATCAGATTCTTCGTACGAGAAGACTAACTCTCATAGTCGAGTCAGCTCTCCAAACTCTCCCCTTTGTGGACCACAGTCAGCTCAGACGCCAAGCCCCACCTCTCGGCGTTTTTCTGTAAGAGTCTGTTTTGTTGTATCTAATTTAGCACTAGGCTTAAAAATATATTTTTCACTTGATTATGTGTGATTTTTTTGTAGTGAATTTCATTAATTTTAAAATTTTTTTTTTTTGTACATATAAGATATGTTTATCTGTCTATCTTTGCCTTTAATTCACAAAACTAAACATAAAACAGGATCAATGTATAATTAGAGATGTTTGCCCTTTTAGCCATGGGGGGGAATTATAATGTGACAGTCAATCACACTGCTTGTTCGTAAATAGTTGACTAAAAGTAGACAGTGGGTGGTATTGGCTATCTGATTTCCGTCTATAACATCAAAATTAGAAATACTAGTACAGATAACCCTTGTACAGCTTTGCCCAAAAAATTCAATAAAACAGTATGTTTGTGCTGTCCATATTGAATCTTTATTCTGTCTTTTAATAGCAAATTATCCAGCAGTGATCTTTTTAGTGTGGCTAGTAGACAAACAAAAATCTAATAAATCAAAGATGAACTGGCTGGTTGAGTGTTAGAAAAGTTTGACAAATGGTTTCCCATAAATCAAAAGTAGTGAATTTACTGATGCTTTGTTTTTTGTAAGTAGACATTAAAATGTACTGAGTAACTATGAAATAAAAAGCACATTGATCCTGTAAGATTTGGTTTAAGCAATAAGCTACAAGATGTGTTAGCCATTTAAGAAAGAGCACTTTTATTGGTGAACTTGTTTGGCAACTATTTACTAAAACTGCTGTGCTTTTTTGTATACATACAATGAGTTTTTATTCCTAAGGCTGACTTCTATTTATTGTTATATTGTGCCCTGATTTAAAAAAATAAATAAATATTCTCCATCTCAGAAAAAGCAATATAAGAAACATACTTATTTATTATCCCAAAATAAACTAATTATACATTAAATGACTTCCAGGTCATCCAAAATGGTAAAAACTATCTCAAGTATTAAGTTATTTGTGTAACCAGCAAGTGATTAATGAAATCAGTTTTACATTTTAGAGTTTCTTCTCCAAACATACACCAAAGATTCCACTGAAAAGGACCAAAAGTACCACCAAACTAGAGCGAAAGCGAGGTACAACAGATGGGAGCAGGTGAGTGCAGTTTAGTATTTTAGTGTGTGGTATTCATGGGTGAATATCCAAGAACCAGTAAACTATTTTTCTACATCATACACCATGATAGTGGTTCATAATAGGGATTGCAAGGAATTGCACAAAATCCTAAAAGAACGTTCAGGCGAAAAGCATATTAAACAGTAAAGATTCAGCTCAAACAGTGTTTTAAAACCTTTACTATTGACAGCTAAGCCTGTACACATATAAAAATGCACAAAAAAAGAGCATGTGTGTTAGACTTACAAGGAAAAGAAAATCCACTCAAAATGGCCTTTTTGTAATTCTTCTTTCTGTTATTCTCTTGCCAGTCTACACCACAAAAACAGATTGGTATATTGCACCCAAACCTTTTGTAGTATGCTAAATAAGTTACTGTGAAGGTTGTAGGAGTATTTAAAATTATATTTGTTTCTTCTATATTTTACATAGCTAAAAAACATCATAATTCTGGTGTAAACAATGTTATCATTAGCCCTTGAAGTTAGCTTCCATAGAAATATATAAGATTCATTTAAAAAGCTTAAATAGAGAGTGAAACAGGAATTATCAGCCAATAATAGATGAACATTAGATGACTGTAACGTGTAGATACTCAGTGCTTTGTACACTGTACAATTGGTGTCTTTAGGGAGTCAGTAATCAATAAACATAATATTAAATTTTATTACACACAATTGTAGAATAATTTATTTAAAAGACACTAAGATTTATTTAATGCGATGGTTTAGACTAATATGTTTTTCTTGAAGAGGATACTTTTCTTCTGGTAATTTTTTTTTCATGCTTAGTGGAGGTTGTGTCTTAGCCTAGCCATATATTTACCCATTGCATTATATACATATATATATATATATATAGAGAGAGAGAGAGAGAAAGAGAGCTTTAGTTACTCAGAAACTATAAATTCTCACTATATTCTCAAACAAATCTCCATGACAGTATTCTGCTGCAGCTGAACATTTTACATCTTGAACTGATGCGATCAAATAATCAATAGCTACAGTAAATAATCATGAACCATATCAGCTAGCTGCTAAATATGTTTATCATCATTACAGTGTATAAAGTTAGCTACCATATCAAGTAATCCTTTGTCCATAGTTGAGCATAAAATAGCCAGCAAAAAAATAAACAAAAATATTGGGAATTTAAAAACCTGCAAATAGGGAACATAAAAAAGTAAGGAAACAAGGCTGGAGATATTGTAAACATTATTTACTCAAACTAAAAATCCCTATTTTGACACCATATTTTGTAACAGCATGGAGCCAAAATAGGTTTTTTTTTTTTATATTCCCAATATTTTTATTTATCTTATATAAGATAACCTCTCACAAGAGCTTCTTTAGAAATAGATTAAGCTTATTGCTGCTTATTCTCATCTTAATAATTGCATTGTATATTAAGCTTCATTACAACTTCATACAAAATGTAAGATAATACTTTAATCGTAATTACAGAGTGAAATAAAATAAAACCAGCAACATTAAAATCTAATGGAGTCAGTCAAATTGCTGTTTGTTAAACTTAATCATAATTAATAGGGAACAAAAAACAAACTTAAAGTTGCAATTGATACCCACGAATACTGAAAGTGTAAAGTTGCTAGCAGAATATTACCATTTTATTAAATGCCTGTCATCCTAGTGCATTCATTAGATGAGGTAATTTTGTTTTATCATATTAGGTTCTCCAACTGGTGGTAATTTTTACACAGCTTTATAGTTTCTTTTTACACATTGAAGTAAATGTTCTTTTAATTTACATTTGAATTTCAGATTTTACGAATAATATTTATTCTTAAAATCTGTTTTGGATCTGATAATAATAGAAAAGTTTCAGAGGCAAGATAGTAACTTTTTTCTTCCTTAGTTATTTTAAATAAATATATCAAAGGTTGATTGTTAGTGGAAAGTTAATAAAACAGATTAACATGCACTTTAGTGTTTGTTTGTTTATTTATTTTTAAGCACAAAGCCACACAGTGGACTGTCTGTGCTCTGCCCGCCATGTGTATCAAAACCCAATTTTTAGAGTTATTAGCCCTCAGACTCACTAAAAAAGCCATTGCGGATATTGTGTTATTACCGAAGGGTACTTTTCAACTACAGTTTCGTGTTTATGAACTTTCTATTAATGTGAATAAGCAGATTCAGTTGTTATGAAAACAATCATTATGGAAATTCTTTTCCTCATTGTAGCTTCAAATGAAGCTAGAGGACTATAGAGTGAGAACTTATATTTTTATTTCTAGTTTTGAAGTAAATAAATAAAGATAATTTATTCATTTTCTGGTGTTCATCTAATATAAATTAAGTGGACACTTTAGCACATGATACCAATGTGGACTTTTGTTTCTAATATTCAAACTAAAAGAAAAATTATGTATGTGTGATATTATGCAATGTTTTATAATTTCACTTATCTTTAGGAATACCTTTTCAGTACAATATTAAGAGAAAAATGTACAGATAGACAAAAATTCGGCAGTTAAATAGTAGATCACCTAGAAAAGATATTAAGGTTAAACTCTTTTTTTTTGCTAATAATGTTCTAACGATTTTAATTTTTTTAAATTACATTTAGTTTCATTAGTTGGATTATGAAACATTCAGGTAACGCATCTCTTCTTAGGATCGATTAAAGGCTAAAATGTTTAGCAGTATCATAACTTAATAGCTTGGTCATTTTTAGGAACAGTAACCCAGTGTATAGTTTAACAATTAAACTAACTTGTTTAGTTTTTATTTATGTACGTATTTTTTTCATAGCAACAATACTTTAGTTGCTGTCTAACTTGTAGGTTTGCTTTTGTTTATAGTTTTATAAATTGCATTCAATTATAAATCCAGAATGAAAAACCCAAAATGTGTTATTTTGTTAAGAGTTTATTATTGCACTGCTGCTTTTATCATAATCAGTTTGTGATTTGTTCTCGAAATTAACTGATTCAGTACAAGGGTGTATCCGGGTGTTTCTTAGCTAAATTATAGAAATTTTGACTTTATTACATGACTATTCAGTTAAAATACAACTTATTTGTTTAGATAATAATCAGTTACAACAGTAGTCAAAAATGTGAAATCCTATTGAAAACAAACTGTCAAGTCTTTCCTCCAACTAGTGGGAAATCTTCTTTTAGTTGGCAAATATTTTATCAGTGGAAAATCAAATAGTTAATACAAAGAAAAAGTTGAAATATTTTGTAATTAGATATGCAATACAAAAATGTTGTTAATTCAGAGAATGTCTAATGTACCTGTTTGGGGAAAAAAAAACTGAAAAATAATTTTTAAACTGAAGCTCTAATTTTCTTTAATATGTTGTCTTTTTCTTTCTCATTATCCATAATTTAGACTCCGTAGTTCCAAATCCCACGAGTCTTTACTTCTTAGTTGTTCGGAAGTATTTTCTGACATTGATCTCACTCAGTATGGTGTTAATGTAAAGCCACTTTCTGGACATTATTGTGGACAAGAGCATTGCTTTGAGCTGTATTCAACAAAAGGAGTGATTCGCCATTATTCTTGTAGTTCAGAAGAAGAGAGAGACAGTTGGGTTCAGAGGTAACTTTTACGTAAATATTCTATTACAGGAAAAACTCTGATAATACTGTAAATGTAATAATTCTTGTATCACATATTTAATTGCATAAGTATTTATTAATGTAATACAAAAGGATTTTAACATTGTTAGAGGAGCTGTAAAACAAACATGTATACATTTAGATAAACAAGTATTAACAGAACACTCAGAATACTCAGACCTTGTTTAATTTTAACAGTATATTAAAAAAGCCATCACAACTTTTCAGTTTAAAGAATACAATAACAGAGAACTAACATATTTTTCAATTAGAATATTAAGAGGAATTTTGGTATCAAGTAAACATGTTACTTCTGTCAAAGCTGTTTATCAAATATAGCTATTTCTATAAAAGAAATATTTTTATTTATTTTATCCTTCACATTGTTAGGTTAAGAGATTCCATACACAACGAGACTTCTAACAAGCAAAGAATGGAAAATTCACTCATCATATGGATCTTGGAAGCTAAAGGTCTCCCAGTTAAAAAAAGGTATTTTTAAATGTATTGTCTCAAAACCTAAGAGAAAAAGATTTGTGTTCTTCTTTACAGGAAGATAATCTATAATTAACAGTGTAAAAAGGTAAATTACTTCTACATTTACAAAAAAAGTATATTTTTTAAAACTTAAACTTGTGACAAATATATATTCTTTTAGTGATATTAATATGTTCTGTAATTCAACAGACATATATAAAGTGTCTGTAATTAAGAAACTTTTTATTTTTAAAAGTTTTGTTTATAAGAAAAACAATAAAACAGGTGTTGTGTGCTTGTGCAATTTACTGAACTACATATCATCTGCGTAAGTAACAGAAACAGATTCAAAATCTTTATTAAGAAAAGAAAAAAATTAAGTATTCTTGGTTAATTTATCATTTCAGAAGTAGTAGAAAAACAAAATTCAGGAAACGAGAATTTAGTTTACTTTCACGTATATGTCATAACTGTGATTAATTTAATATACAAAGATGTAAAAAAAAGATAGACATTCCATGTAATTTTACTTTGTATGTATCATAGATATTATTGTGAACTGTGTTTGGACAAAGAGCTCTATAGCAGAACCTCATCCAAGCAGATGGCTGATATGTGTTTTTGGGGCGAGCACTTTGAATTCAAGTAAGTCAGTTTCACTAACCATTTTGGTGCAAAAACTTTAGAGAAAAGTGCATCTTTATTATATTTATTAGGGGGCTACGATATGTAGACTTGTTTCAGTGAATGACTTTAACTTTTCAAATTTTAAGATTATTTTGGTTTATTTTCTCTTCTTCTTTATATTCATAATATGAAAAATAAGTTAGCCAGGTGAATTTGAACAAGTTTAGAGGTGGTTGAATAACAAAAACTATTTCATATCTTGTTTATTCTGATACTGAATACTTACTGATAGTTTAAACTAAGTAATGTATGTTATCTAGTTTATTTATCAGCTCTTTTTAAATACAGTCTAAACATATACTAAAATATGTTTGAAGTTCAGTTTACGTTATGGATCGATAAATCTCCTATAATTTTTTATTTACTTCTGCTCATTATGAAGAATTGTAATGACTGGCTGACTGTATAAACTTTGAGTAATCTTGCTAATTTTTTTTCCTTCAATATCTTTAAGAAACTATTGTTATGTACCTATGTTTAAAGTCGATTGAACAAAGTTGGGGGGGGGGGGGGTGGACAACTTGGTGTTTACAGAGAATAAGGTAAAATATGATTGTACTAAAACACTAAAACCAAATGAGGTATGGGTAGGGTGTTTTTTGGCAGTATAATATTTTTTCATTCACATATAGACTCACAGAGTGTTGAAAATTATGCTTGATATTATAACAGATTTAGTATTGTACGTTCATTAGCATAATAGTTTTTTTTAGCAAATCAACACATTTGATGACGAGGAACCCACTTTGAGACTAATTAATGGCTGGAGACGGCTTGAATGGGTAATGAAGAAAAACTTTAACATAACAGCAAATGTACAACGTTTCGACAAGGTTTTGTCATCATCAGGTACATTTGCTGTTATGTTAAACTTATATTAAAGTTTTTCTTCATTACCCATTCAAGCCGTCTCCAGCCAAATCAACACATTACTGAAGATACACCTCTTCCTAGATATAAAACATATTTAATCTTTTCCAATACATTTGTGATACTAAGGTACATCTGTTCTCACCCTGGCCACTTAAGTCAAAACATAAATGTACAGTGCTAAAACTGTCTCACAATTTGCTAAACACTAGGTGAAACATAACAATACCGAAATACTAAACTTATAACCTGCTCACAAAACTTACAGTAACTTTCTTCTTGTCAGTTATCGTAGGTTATCCAGATATATCCACAGTAATTGGTAGAAAACTATTGTGTCAATTGTTTAATGAAGATCAGTCAATAACTGCAGGAATAATAAACCTTGTGACACTACCCATCAGACAGACTTTTAACACATAATTACATAATAAAATATTACAAATAATTATGTTTTAAAGAAAAAAGAAACTTTTGAAACTATCACTCATCATTTAATTATGAATAATACCCCTGCAGAATAATATATAAAACTTTATTGAATAAATTTGAAGGTTTCTTTTAATTCATAACTAATTTTATACCAATAGGAAATCTTATTTTATTGTATCTCAAAAAAAACAACAACAACAACAGTTTTTAAAGGTATCATAGAGAATTTATTTATGTGAAATACCACTGCAAAAAAAATATTCTAACATGTACTGAATAAATT